CCTGTCTCTAAAAGTAAATAAACAATGGTACTTTTCCTCCAATGAGGACTGCTTCTGGGCTGGAGAGGCAATAACTTAAGTGGATCTGAAGGATGGATTAAGATCCGGACAGGCAGATTCAGGCAGATTCATAAGGAGAAGTGGGTAATGGTAGAGAGAAAAAGGGAGATTCCAGACAGGATGAATAGCACGTGCAAAGCGAGGAGGGTAAACCTCCTGATCTTGCAGGGGTAGTACGCACAGTGGTTAAGCACATGGATTCCAGCACCTGCTGCCCAGGTTTGAACGCCAGCTCTGTCGCTTTAGCTGGATGACTCTAAGAAAGTTGCTTAACCTCCCTGAGTCTCAGTTTCATCATCTACAAAATGAGGGTAATAACAGCATCCATCCCATGGAGGAGTTGTAGGGATCAAATGAAGTTAGCACATGCGAAGTGCTCAGTGCTGTTGTGAAACTCTGATGAGACCCGTGACGAAGTGTGAGGGCTAACGTTGTAATTTTAAGTCACAAACAACTATTTTTTTGTGCTTCCAACAATGATGCTCAGTTACGAAACTGCAAACCTCTGAGTTGCAAGGCCTGGTGATAACTTGTCTTGCCATCAGCGTGAGCAACAGAGCAACATCTGACAAGAAACCTGCAGGACCCTGTGCCTCTGATCACGGCTTCTGCAGTTTATGACGCCCTACGAGGGCCACGAAGAAATAAAAAGACACCGCAGGCCTCCCCTCCCTGCTGACTCCGTTTTATGCCATTTCCATCCTACCCTGGAGACGCCAAGCACGAGGACGAGAAATAACCATTCCAAGTAGCATCAAAATATCCCGAATCCATTGAGAACAAGGCTCTGTAAAAGCTAGATCTCTATCTTTTAGGGGGAAAGTATTGGCTGTTATAAGTTAGTATTTTTAAAAATTGAGCCATAATCACAAATCATAAATGTACCTTTCAAAGAGTTTGATGTCATGCACACGCCCATGTGACCACCAGCTCAATCAAGACACAGGGTACCGACAGCCCAGAAGGTTCCCTCATGTCCCTCTCCAGCTAATTCCCCTCCCTCCTTCAGAGACAACCTCTCTTCTGAACTCTAACTCTACAGTTTGCTTTTGCCTGTGAAAACCCAGGTGAGAATAATGTTAATAGTTTTCAACCAGGGACAGTTTGGTCCCCCAGGGGACATTTGCCAGTGTCTGGGGCATTTTTGGTTGTCACACTGGGGTGGGTGGTGCTACTGACATCTCACGCGCAGAGGCCAAGGATGCTGATACATGTCGTACAATGCACAGGACGGCCTCCCACAACAGAGAATTACACCACCCCAAAACATCAACAGCACTGCGGTTGAGAAACCCTGGTAGAGTTAAGCCCACCAGAATGACGATTTCAGCTGTCTGAAGCCACGCCCTGGGTGTCTGCAACATAAACCACTCTCATTTGCACTCCCAACAAGGATGCTCAGTTATGAAACCGAGAACCTCAGAGTTGCAAGACCTGATGATAACCTTGTCTCGCCAACATGAATGACAGGTGTGAATCTCACCCCAAACACCCAGGCCAGTGTCAGGGTGGTAGATGGGACAGGACGACAAACCAGATTCGCCCCCGTGCTGAGCTGCACGGACCTGTGTTTGAATACCTGCTAGACCACTCGTTCTGTGTGTCAGAGGGCACATGTCAGGACCTTTCGGAGTCTTTAGAATGTCTCCAACCGTAAAATTTAGTTCTTTTGTTTTGAGAATCAAACTGAGAAAACCCAGCTCAGCCCTTAGGGGCCCACGATAGGTGCTCTGTCCCCAAATTTCTTGGATGCTCTTGTGGCAAACACGTTCTGTGCTGACTTCTCCAAGGACCCAGAACATTCTGAGGCCTTAGTCTTTGATTTGGACAACACAGCCCAAAGTCCCAGGAAAGGATGGGCAAAGGGGAAGGAAAGAAATGCCTGAAAATTCCATACTTACCAACAGGGGAGATCCAGGAATCACCCAAAGCAACCCCAGAAAAGGTGCACTTGATGGTCCCCTGCTGAATGGCCTGAAAGAAGAACCAAGAGACATTCTCGCCACGGCGATCCAGAGGCCTCCATCCCCCTCAGAGAGGAAGGAGCCAAGCCTTCACACACTGCCTCTCCTGGGCACAGAAAACCGCCCACCCTTTCCAAACTTCCCTGGGTACCAAAGGACTAGAGATACCCACAACAGAGCAAGGGTAACTCTTTCCTGCGGCCGTTTGCAAAACAAACAGGAACTATTTGAGCTTCTCTTTATCTTAATTCACAGGTGTTGTCAGGATGTGTGTGGAGTGAGGCGCAGCCCTAGTCTTCCTTAGGAGGGGCACTGCCCCCCACCTGGCCTGTGATTTCTCACAGGGTGCTCGGGGAGCTCCATGCGTACAGTTACCCCGCCAAGCAGCAGAGACTGGAGGACCGAGAAACCTCCTTAGGACATCCTCGAGGGTGGAATAGGGGCCTGGGGACTAGAAGTTCATGCCTCTCTGTTCCTTTTATTCATTTTCAAAGTAATACATCTGTCCGGGAGCAGAAAATTGGAAACAATCTAAACATTTTTCAGTAAGACGGGCTAAAGAAATTATGGTTATTTCCATGGTACATGATGAACTTAAAAAAAGAATGAGAATAACTCTTTATGGACTGATATGAAAAGATTTCCAAGGTATATGTTAACTTTTTAAAAAAGAGTTATAGACTAGTGTATAGTATATATCTCTCATTTGTATAACAAATACTATCATTTGTATAACATTTGTATAACTGTCCATAAAAAGAACATATATGGCATAGTTTAGACAAGCACATCAGACCTCTGGAAAAATACAGCAGAAACTAACAACAGAGATGGCATTAGGGGACAGGACAGAGGAAAGAGGGAAAACCTTTATAGTATGCTTTTTACATTTTTTGAATTTTGAATATTGCGAATGCACAAGCTCTCTAGAGATCTAAAACAATGAATATCCTGACTTTAAACATTCGTAATTAAAGAGAAAGAATTATGCATTTATCTGGATTTTCCAGAAGGAACTCTATTTCAGAGTAACTTAAATAGCCCCAGGTGATGAGGGAAGTGCCACTTCATGGAAGAATGCCAGCTCAGCTAATAGCTGGGGACACAATGACAGGAGGAGAAAAGCATCAGTGTGAAACTCCTAAT